TACAGGTGACCATGGGTGGTACAGGTGACTCATGGGTGGTACAGGTGACTCACAGGTGGTACAGGTGACTCATGGGTGGTACAGGTGACTCACAGGTGGTACGGTCCCACGCGGTGTGTTGCCCCAGAAGAGGAAACACTAGGTGATAAAATCTCCCTCACCTGACCTAAACTAACTCCTCCTGGTAATAACTTCAGGGTGTTGCATCTTCAGGTAGTTTATGTCTGTCTTATCTCCAGGTGAGTTCCTCTCTGTCTCACACACACACACACACACACACACACACACAAACTCTCTCTCTCTCTAGGTTAGGTTAGGTTAGCGTTAAAGTGATTCATTAACTTTAAAATGAAACAAACAAGCGGGGGGGAAGGTTAATCTTCAGGTGATCCTTGAAATTAAATAAAATAAAAGTTACATATGACAGACAAACACATAGACATATTTCTCTTTGTATTACAGGTGGACGCGTTATAGGTGTGTGTGTGTGTGTGTGGTGTGTGTGTCTTAGTTAACAACAGTTCAAGTCCTTCCACCTGATAATTACGTTACCTGAAGTTTCCATTCTCCTGTGTTGACAACCTCACTGTTACACACCTCTCTCTCTCTCTCTCCTGGCTGCTGGTGACGTACACGCGTCGTAAACAATTTTCGCTGTTTTCTGGTAAAGGGAATTTTATCAGCTGAGGAAGACCCACACGCTGCACGGCCATCGTCTACCCGGCCACCACGTACCCGGCCATTACTGATCCAACCATCACGTACCCGGCCACCACGTACCCGGCTATCATAGACCCGGCCACTACGTACCCGGCCACTACGTACACGGCCATCACGAACACGGCCATCACGGAACCGGCAACCTCCTCCTCTCTTCCTCCCGACCCCTCCTCCTCCCGACCACCTCCCATCCTCCCCGACCACCTCCCGACTTACCATCCTCCCGACCACCTCCATCCTCCCCGACCACCTCCCTCCCGACCACCCTCCCCGACCACGACAAAACCGACCATCTATACCGACCACTTATCAACCTGATCACTTCATAAACCGGACGGACGAAGCTGTTAGGTGGCCGGAACGATCCACGGAGACGATCCACGGAGACGATCCACGGAGACGATCACGTGATCCACGGAGACGATCCACGGAGACGATCCACGGAGATGATCCACGGAGACGATTCACGGAGACGATCCACGGAGAGATCACGGAGATACGGGTCACGAGATGATCCACGAGAGATCCACGGAGATGATCACGGAGACGATCACGGAGATGATCACGGGACGATCCACGGAGACGATCACGGAGACGATCACGGAGACGATCCACGGAGATGATCCACGGAGACGATCCACGGAGATGATCCACGAGACGATCCACGGAGACGATTCACGGAGCGATCACGGAGATGATCCATGAGACGATCACGAGACGATCCAGAGATGATCCACGGAGACGATCCACAGACGATCACGGAGACGATCCACGAGATGATCCACGGAGATGATCCATACGGAGATGATCCACGGAGACGATCCACGGAGATGATCCACGGAGACGATCCACGGAGATGATCCACGGAGACGATCCACGGAGACGATCCACGGAGACGATCCACGGAGACGATCCACGGAGACGATCACGGAGATGATCCACGGAGACGATCCACGGAGACGATCCACGGAGATGATCCACGGAGACGATCCACGGAGATGATCACGGAGAGATCCACGAGACGATCCACGGAGACGATCCACAGAGATGATCCACGGAGACGATCACGGAGATGATCCACGGAGATGATCCACAGAGATGATCCACGAGACGATCCACGGAGATGATCCACGGAGATGATTCAGACAGACAGACAGAGATACACACAAAGCCAGCCAAATGTGTACATAAACACAAACAGACATACAGACAAATAGACACCTAAACACAAACAAACACAAACAAACACACAAACAAAACAGACAAACACACAAACACAAAAGAGACAAACACACAAACACAAACAAACACACAAACAAAACAGACAAACACACAAACAAAACAGACAAACACAAACACAACAGACAAACACACAAACACAACAGACAAACACACAAACACAAACAGACAAACACACAAACACAACAGACAAACACACAAACACAACAGACAAACACACAAACACAACAGACAAACACACAAACACAACAGACAAACACACAAACACAACAGACAAACACACAAACACAACAGACAACACAAACAAAACAGACAAACACACAAACAAAACAGACAAACACACAAACACAAAGACAAACACACAAACAAACAGACAAACACACAAACAAAACAGACAAACACACAAACACAACAGACAAACACACAAACACAAACAGACAAACACACAAACAAAACAGACAAACACACAAACACAACAGACAAACAAAAACAGACAAACACACAAACAAAACAGACAAACACACAAACAAAACAGACAAACACACAAACACAACAGACAACACACAAACACAACAGACAAACACACAAACACAACAGACAAACACACAAACACAACAGACAAACACACAAACAAAACAGACAAACACACAAACAAACAGACAAACACACAAACACAACAGACAAACACACAAACAAAACAGACAAACACACAAACAAAACAGACAAACACAAACAAACAGACAAACACACAAACACAACAGACAAACACACAAACAAAACAGACAAACACACAAACACAACAGACAAAAACACACAAACACAACAGACAAACACACAAACAAAACAACAAACACACAAACACAACAGACAAAACAAACACAAACACACAAACAAAAAACAACACACAAACAAAAACAGACAAAACACAAACACAACAGACAAACACAAACACAACAGACAAAACAAAAACAACAGACAAACACACAAACAAACAGACAAACACACAAACACAACAACAGACAAACACACAAACACAACAGACAAACACACAAACAAAACAGACAGACACACAAACACAACGAACCAAACACACAAACACAACAGACAAACACACAAACACAACAGACAAACACACAAACACAACAGACAAACACACAAACACAACAGACAAACACACAAACACAACAGACAAACACACAAACAAAACAGACAAACACACAAACAAAACAGACAAACACACAAACAAAACAGACAAACACACAAACAAAACAGACAAACACACAAACAAAACAGACAAACACACAAACACAAACAGACAACACACAAACACAACAGACAAACACACAAACACAACAGACAAACACACAAACAAAACAGACAAACACACAAACACAACAGACAAACACACAAACAAAACAGACAAACACACACACAACAGACAAACACAAACAAAACAGACAAACACACAAACACAACAGACAAACACACAAACACAACAGACAAACACAAACACAACAGACAAACACACAAACACAACAGACAAACACACAAACACAACAGACAAACACACAAACAAAACAGACAAACACACAAACACAACAGACAAACACACAAACAAAAACAGACAAACACAAAAACACAACAGACAAACACACAAACAAAACAGACAAACACACAAACACAACAGACAAACACAAACAAAACAGACAAACAAAACAGACAAACACACAAACAAAACAGACAAACAAACAAACAAAACAGACAGACAAACAAAACAAACACACAAACACAACAGACAAACACAAACAAACGCAACAGACAAACACACAAACACAACAGACACACAAACACAGAGCGAGGAATAAAGACAACAACAACAACACAACAAGAGAGCCAGTGAACCATGACCAAATAACTCAAGACATAATGGTCGGTAATCTGAAAAATTTCCCCCAATACCCGACCTTAATGAATAACACCACATATGACCTTCTTGCTCTCTAAACGTCGGGTAATTTGCATATCATTTCCATACTAAACACTTTATTGTGGTGTGTGTGTTAGGGGGCCGTGGACCCTAGACCCCTGGACCCCTGATCGTGAGGGTGCTCTCAGGTGACGGAGCGGCTCGTTTTTTAGTTAATTTAATTACTTATCTACGTTAACTAACCTAACTTAACCTAACCTAACCTAACTTAACCTAACCTAACCTAATTTAACTTAACCTAATTTAACCTAACCTAAATTATCTAACCTAACCTAACCCAACCTAACCTAGCCTCTCTACATAAGGGCAAAAGTAGAGGTCTGGTTATGAAAGGATACAAGTATATGTTTTCTTTAAAGGTGAATTGTCAGCATAGGATAAAACGTCAGCATAATCATCAGCATAAAGACGTCAGCATTGTGTTTTCAGAAAGGAGAGACGTCTTTAAGTGATTATTTAAGGCTGACAGATTTTAACAGCGACTCTTCATCTACCTGGCTCTCAGCACCTAATTTACATATCACACGTCCACCAAAAATTTACTCTTTGAAAAGATTTGAGACTGAGTATTTTTGGTGTGTGTGTGTGTGTGTGTGTTGGAAAAAAACTTATGGACTCACACACACACACATCGCCACACACACACTCACCCTGACCCCCCCCACACACACACACACCTGGCCCCCCACCCCACACACACACACCCTGACACCCCCCACACACACCCTGACCTCCTCTCCACACACACACACAGCATCAGTCATCAAGGGAATACCAACAGCAACACTAATTAAGGCACAGAGAGTTACTAGTCCAGACCCTCAAAAGCTTCACATGATAGAATCTCTGTGTAGCCCCTATATACAATGATATACACACCTTCATTAATACAAACTCATGCACCACTCAGGCAATGCATTTTATAATCCACCTACTGAATGTTTTTTTTTTTACTCGTAATATTTTCTTTTCACTCATATTTTAAAATTTCAATAGTAATATATATATTTTTTTGGGGGGTGTGATTCAATTCTAGGTTATGTAAAGACTAGTCTACTGGGTTAGTACTGTTTAATTAATTTACTATCGTTATGGTACAGGTGGTTAGTGCCCTGGCCTGATACACTAACACAACAACTACCATTAAATAACTACTGTACTCTCAGGATATATTTACTTAGCAAAATATAAAACTAACTTTTTTATTTTTAAGAGAGAGACCAGTAGGAACAGTCAGCCATCTTGAAGGTCGTGTGAACACTTTGTAATGAGGTGCCGAGTATGTCTTGTCAGTGTCAGCAAAGTCCTTTTGTATGCTGACACTTATTGTTGTTGTTGTTGTAATGAGTAAAATCAGTCATTCTGGATCTCATGTCACCTGCAAATCGAGAAAAATAAAAATAATAATAATCTCAAATACTAAGATTTTATGCTGATTAAGTTGTTATTAATTATGGCGTTATGGCATCTGTAAGTTTGGTGTTACTTTTAGTGTTGGTTAAGATAGCAACAGAGGCTGACACTCACGCTGTAACACTCGTCAGGCGGCGTCTGTGTACTCCTGCCTGTGAAGCCTCAACACCCAGCTAGTAGTAACTTTCAGCTTCATCATTACGGGTTGTGTGTGGGAGGTGGTGCCCCTTCAGTGTCTCCGTCAAGGGGTCAGGACAGGCTAGGAACACTGGTGGATAGAACCCCTGAGGAACACCACTGCTGGGTTCTCTCCTCCTCCTTCTGCACCTCTTCCTCCAGGGCTCCTTGGTTGTCTCCCTCAAGGTACAAGGACAGGCTAGGGGCAGCAGGAGGTAACACCATCTCTGTAGAGCACCAGTGTGGGCCCCTCGCTGCCTCCTCCAGGTGTAAAGACAAACTAGGAACAAAGGAGGATGCCAGCCCCGAAGAACACCACTCTGAGGCCATCACTTCCTGTTCTTCACCGCCTCCTTCAAGGTGTAAGGGCTGGTTAGGAACAGAGGTGGATGCTACCCTTGCCGGACACCACTGCGGAGCTCTCATCTCCTCCCCTGACTGACATACACGGCTGACGGATACTGACGGCTGACACGCGCGGCTGATAGGTACTGGCGATATGTCCACATGAAAGGTCTGGAACACTAACAACATTAATCTTATCAATTACTTAGAATTTAACTTTAGAGAGAGAGAGAGAGAGAGAGAGAGAGAGAGAGAGAGAGAGAGAGAGAGAGAGAGAGAGAGAGAGAGAGAGAGAGAGAGAGAGATTAATAACAAGATCAGGGTATAAGAAGGAACAATTATATTAAGAATTACATACGAAGATCATAACACAACCTTCAAGACATCTGGAATAACATGTCACCTGTTGGAGGAATAACTCGAACTTGCTCCTTACGACACGAACCAAGTAGAAGCTGGCGAACGGTCGTCTGACGTTCACTTGTATAGGATGAATGGGAACCTAAAGCCCAGGCGCTGTCGATTGCTCGTGTTGGCGATGTGTATATTGGGGTTGGCTGCTGTGTGTGTGTGTGTGTGTGTGTGTGTGTGTGTGTGTGTGTGTGTGTGTGTGTGTGTGTGTGTGTGTGTGTGTGTGTGTCTGTATGAATTACCAAACAATTTTGTTGATAAACCTGGCATGTACACACTGACATGTACACACCAGCCTGTATACACTGACATGTACACACTGACCTATACACACCGGCCTGTAAACACCAGCCTGCACACATCGGCCTGTACACACACACCGGCCGCTTCAATTAGTGCTAAATGATGGTGTACAGAACATGGACAAACATCAACACCAAAAAAGTTAAAACATTTTACTGTAGAAACTTAATGACCGGACCAATTACAGAGGTCACCTGGCCAACCACCTGACCTGACTAACCTAATGACCGGACCATTACAGAGGTCACCTGGCCACCACCTGAACCTGACCAGTGGACCAATTACAGAGGTCACCTGGCCACAACCTGACTTGACCTGACCTAACCTAATGACCGGACCAATTACAGAGGTCACCTGGCCACCACCTGACCTGACCTGACCTAACCTAATGACGGACCAATTACAGAGGTCACCTGGCCACCACCTGACCTGACCTAACCTAATGACGACCAATTACAGAGGTCACCTGGCCACAACCTGACCTGACCTAACCTAATGACCGGCAATTACAGAGGTCACCTGGCCACCTGACCTGACCTGACCTAACCTAATGACCCAATTACAGAGGTCACCTGGCCACAACCTTACCTGACCTGACTCTAACCTAATGACCGACCAATTACAGAGGTCACCTGGCCACAACCTTACCTGACCTGACCTAACCTAATGACCGGACCAATTACAGAGGTCACCTGACCTGACCCAACCTAATGACCGGACCAATTACAGAGGTCTCCTGGCCACCACCTGACCTGAACTGACCTAACCTAATGACCGGACCAATTACAGAGGTCACCTGGCCACCACCTGACCTGACCTAACCTAATGACCGGACCAATTACAGAGGTCACCTGGCCACCACCTGACCTGATCTGACCTAACCTAATGACTGGACTAATTACAGAGGTCACCTGGCCACAACCTGACCTGACCTGACCTAACCTAATGACTGACCAATTACAGAGGTCACCTGGCCACCACCTTACCTGACCTGACCTAACCTAATGACTGACCAATTACAGAGGTCTCCTGGCCACCACCTGACCTGAACTGACCTAACCTAATGACCGGACCAATTACAGAGGTCACCTGGCCACCACCTGACCTGACCTAACCTAATGACTGGACTAACAGAGGTCACCTGGCCACCACCTGACCTGATCTGACCTAACCTAATGACTGACCAATTACAGAGGTCACCTGGCCACAACCTGACCTGACCTGACCTAACCTAATGACCGGACCAATTACAGAGGTCACCTGGCCACCACCTGACCTGACCTAACCTAATGACCGGACCAATTACAGAGGTCACCTGGCCACAACCTGACCTGACCTAACCTAGTGACCGGGCCAATTACAGAGGTCACCTGGCCACAACCTTACCTGACCTGACCTAACCTAATGACGGACCAATTACAGAGGTCACCTGGCCACCACCTGACCTGACCTGATCTAACCTAATGACCGGACCAATTACAGAGGTCACCTGGCCACAACCTGACCTGACCTGATCTAACCTAATGACGGACCAATTACAGAGGTCACCTGGCCACCACCTGACCTGACCTGATCTAACCTAATGACCGGACCAATTACAGAGGTCACCTGGCCAGCACCTGACCTGACCTAACCTAATCTATCTGACTTAACCAGACTTGTTCTGACGTAGCCTAACCTAACTTTATCTTCTGACCCACCCACCCACCCACCAACACGCACACACACACACACACACACACACACACACACACACACACACACACACACACACACACACACACCAGAGTTATATATATGATGATGACAGACAGAGTGTATACAGACAGGTGTATAAATATTAAAACAATACCTATCTGTGTAATGGTTTGTAATACACATTTGTCTACAGGTGAGACAAAAACTACCTGTGTGTACCAGCTGGCTCTGATGTGTGGCTGTATGTATATGTGTGTGTGTGTATGTGTGTGTGTGTGTGTGTGTGTTGTGTAATAGTAATGTGTGTGTGTGTGTGTGTGTGTGTGTGTGTATGCAGTGATACATTGGTCTGTTTATGCATGTTCTACACACTTCACTACATTACACTACATTACACTACACTACGATACACTATACTACACAATTTTACACTACACTACACTGAAATATTTCTGAGTTAAGAGAAAAATGCCACGCTCCACTGAGCTCTCTCTCTCTCTCTCTCTCTCTCTCTCTCTCTCTCTCTCTCTCTCTCTCTCTCTCTCTCTCTCTTCCTCTCTTTTTAATATTAGTGAAACGTGAAGGGGTTTTGACGTGAGTTGTTCCTCCACACACACACACACACACACACACACACACACACACACACACACACACACACACACACACCTACCTGTAGTGGTGTCACAGGAGTGGCAGCTGGTTCCCCCCGTCACCATCTCCGTCAGGTTCACCTGTAGTGTGAAACAAACAACACCTGAGTCACCTTAATTACTCTGAGGCACCTGACCCACTAACTACGGTACCATCACTATAAACAGTACCCTTAACCACTACCGCTAACTACCCTTAACCACTACCCTTAACTACCCTTAACCACTACTAACCTGTTCTCCTTGTGTAAGTCTTGTTATGAGCTGACCATGACGTGTCCTCACCACCACAACCACCACTACCACCACCACCACCACCACTCCTACCACCATCACCATTGCCGGTACAACCATCTGCCACCAGCTAGCCTCATCACCATCTGAATTATCATCGTCTCTGGTAGGGCCGCCGTCGACACCCCCACCAGGCACGCCCGTCCTTCCTCCGCCGCCCGTGCTTCCTCCTTCAGCGCCTCCGCCATCAGTAAGCCCAGTTGGCATCCCTGAGGGAGTAATATATACGTCAACAAGGAAGAGGTTTATCGTTCACATCCCTAGAAACTATGAGTAAGTTTTTGATCTGAAATTCATCTCATGCATAAATACGTGTTATTGTGTGTTGTTAGTGGTTATAAGCGTACACACATATATACATACATGTTTACAAGAATTTATACACACTACACACACACACACACACACACACACACACAAACAAACACTATCTGATAATCACAAGTACTACTACTACTAATAATAAAAATAACAATAATAAAAGTAAAAGCAAACATCAAAAACAACAACAATAATAATAATAATAATAATAATAAAAACATCAATAATAATAATAATAATAATAACAAAAAACATCAATAATAATAATAATAATAATAATAATAATAATAATAATAAATATTAATAATAACAAAAATCAAGTACAGTACAAGACGAGGCTACAAAGCTGAACAGGGAACAAGGGAATAAGGCTCAACAAGGGTTAACAGCATAAAATTAGAATTAGTCAAGAGTTAAGACCGAGTGTGAGCTGGTCCTTGAGAGCTGGTTTAGTAAGCTGGTAATGTTGTCTTGATGAAAGTTATATCTCAACATGGTCTCTTTCTCTCTCTCTCTCTCTCTTTGTTTTTTTGTTCTTTTCTCTCTCTCTTTTTTCTGTCTTTCTTCTTTTTTCTTTTATCTGTTCATTTCTTGTACCACTCTCTCTCTCTCTCTCTCTCTCTCTCTCTCTCTCTCTCTCTCTCTCTCTCTCTCTCTCTCTTCTCTCTCTTTTTATCTGTATCTCACTTTCTTGTACCCTCTCTCTCTCTCTCTCTCTCTCTTTTTATGTCTCCTTCTTCACCCCTCTCTCTCTCTCTCTCTCTCTCTCTCTCTCTCTCTCTCTCTCTCTTTTATCTGTATCTCATTTTATTGTACCACCTCTCTCTCTCTCTCTCTCTTTATCCGTCTCTCTACTTGCTTTCCCACCCTCCCCTCTCTCTCTCTCTTGTACTCTCTTTCCGTCTCTCTCTCTCTCTCTCTCTCTCTCTCTCTCTCTCTCTCTCACCAGCATGGGTACGGTACTCACGGATGACGGTCTGAGCGTTGTCGTAGAGGTGAAGGCCGTGGCACGACGGACGGACTGGCCCTTCCGTGTTGGTCACCCGCACTACCACCAGCGAACTCCTGTCCCGCCTCTAGACCTCTCACGCTGAAGAAGAGGTCACGGTGAGTCAGGAGGGTGTCAGGGGGTTAGAAGTGGTCACAGTGAGTCAGGAGGGTGTCAGGGGGTTAGATGGGGTCAGGGGTGTCAGAGGGTGTCAGGGGGGTTAGATGGGTCAGGGGGTGTCAGGAGGTGTCAGGGGGTTAGATGGGGTCAGGGGTGTCAGGAGGGTGTCAGGGGGTTAGATGGGGTCAGGGGTGTCAGAGGTGTCAGGGGGGTTAGATGGGGTCAGGGGTGTCAAGAGGGTGTCAGGGGGTTAGATGGGGTCAGGGTGAGGTCAGGAGGAGTGTCAGGGGGTTAGATGGGGTCAGGGGTGAGGTCAGGAGGGTGTCAGAGGGTTTAGATGGGGTCAGGGGGTCAAGAGGGTGTCAGGGGGTTAGATGGGGTCAGGGGTGTCAAGAAGGTGTCAGGGGGTTAGATGGGGTCAGGGTGAGGTCAAGAGGGTGTCAGAGGGGGTTTAGATGGGTCAGGGGGTCAAGAGGTGTCAGGGGGTTAGATGGGGTCAGGAGGGTGTCAGGAGGGTGTCAGGGGTTAGAAGTGGTCACGGTGAGGTCAGGAGGTGTCAGGGGGGTTAGATGGGGTCAGGGGTGTCAAGAGGGTGTCAGGGGGTTAGATGGGTCAGGGGTGTCAGGAAGGTGTCAGGGGGTTAGATGGGGTCAGGGGGTAAAAGCGTGTCAGCAGGATGTCAGGAGGTCGGGTTAAGTTAGTCTGAAGGGGCGAATGAAGGAGGTTGATTTACATTATTATTATTGGTTCATTATGAGGAAGACAGACAGGTTGACAGACAGACAGGTAGACAGACAGACAGAACAAACAGACGAACAAAAATACAGCCACAAGACAGACGAGCCCCAGCCAGCCAACCATACAGACAGCAATCAGCAAGCCAACCATACAGACAGCCAATCAGCAAGCCAACATACGACAGACACAGACAGACAGACAGCCCCAGCCAGCCAACCATACAGACAGCCAACCATACAGACAGCCAACCAGCAACGCCACAGACAGACAGACGGACAGCCAATCGCAAGCCAACCATACAGACAGACAGATGAACAGACAGACAGCCGCCCAGCCAGCCAACCATACAGACAGCCAACCATACAGATAGCCAGACAGACAGATAACAGACAGACAGACAGACAGACAGCAATGACAGATAGACAGACAGACGGACAGCCAATCAGCAAGCCAACCATACAGACAGACAGATAGACAGACAGACAGACGCCGCCCAGCCAGCCAACCATACAGACAGCCGAGACAGATAGACAACAGACAGACAGACGCCAGATAAGCGCCCGCCCCAACCATCGACGCCAACCAGCAGCCAACCATACGAACAGCCGAATGACAGCAGCCAGCCAGACGAACGAACAGACAGCCAGAATGAACAGACAGCCAGATAGACAGATAGCCAGACAGACAGACAGCCAGATTTAAGCCTCACCCCACTTTAAGATTAAACCACAAACACAGTCTAACTTTAAGAGAAAAATTTAACCATTAGTTAATAAATTATAATGAATGACAACGTAACATCAGTGTATGTGTGTCCATTGTAAACACTAAAAACAAACACACAAACAAACACACAAACAAACACACAAACAAACAAACAAACAAACAAACACACAAACAAAAACACACATACAAACAAACAAACACACAAACAAACACATAAACAAACAAACAAACAAACAAACACAAACAAACACTTACACAAACACACAAACAAACACATAAACAAACACAAACACACAATACACAAACACAAACAAACAAACAAACACACATACAAACAAACAAACACAAACAAACACTTACACAAACACACAAACAAACAAACACAAACAAACACTTACACAAACACAAACAAACATAAACAAACACACAAACACACAAACAAACACAAACACACAAACAAACAAAACAAACACTTACACAAACACAGGAGAGGATGAGGTTAGGAGGAGATGACCAAGTGAAAGGTTGCCTCGTTCTCTTGGTCCCTCCTGCTGCTGCTCCTCCTGCTGCTGCTGCTCCTGCTGCTGCTGCTCCTCCTGCCCTCCACCTGCTGCTCCTCCTCCTCCTCCCGTCTGCTGAGGCCTCTGCTACTACTGCTGCCTCCGTCCCCTTCTGTTTGTGTGAAAGAGAGAGAATGAGATAGAGAAGCAAATAGCTCGAGAGATAACCTAACCTAACCTAAACCTAACCCAACCTAAACCCAACCTAACCCAACCTAAACCTAACCTAACCTAAACCAACCTAAACCCAACCTAACCTAAACCTAACCTTAAACCTAACCTAACCTAAACCTAACCTAACCTAACCTAAACCTAACCTGACCTAACCTAACCTGACCCAACCTAACCTAACCTAAACCTAACCTAACCTATCCCAAACCTAACCTAACCTAAACCTAACCTGACCCAACCTAACCTAAACCTAACCTAACCCCAAACCTAACCTGAACCTAACCTAACCTGACCTAACCTAACCTAACCTAAACCCAACAAACCTAACCTAACCTAAACCTAACCTAACCTAACCTGACCCAACCTAACCTAACCCAACCTAAACCTAACCTAACCCAACCAACCTAACCTAACCTAACCTAACCTAACTACCTTGATCCACCACCACCACCTCCACCACAACCATCACCCCTCACTACCACCACACCACCCCATCCCACCATAACCACAATCACCCACCTCATCCCCCACCACCAATCACCACCCTCATCCCCACCACTACCACCACAATTACCACCCCATCCCACCACAACCACCCATCACCACCCCATCCCCACCACAACCACCACAATCACCACCCTCATCCCCACCACAACCACCACAATCACCACCCCATCCCCACCACAACCACCACAATCACCACTCATCCCCACCCTCATCCCCACCACAACCACCACAATCACCACCCCCATCCCCACCACAACCACCACAATCACCACCCTCATCCCCACCACAACCACCACAATCACCACCCTCATCCCCACCACAACCACCACAATCACCACCCTCATCCCCACCACAACCACCACAATCACCACCCTCATCCCCCACCACCACAATCACCACCCTCATCCCACCACACCACAATCCCCTATCCACACACCCACCCCATCCCACCACAACCACCACAATCACCACCCTCATCCCCACCACAACCACCACAATCACCACCCCTCATCCCACCACAACCACCACAATCACCACCTCATCCCCACCACAACCACCACAATCACCACCCCCATCCCCACCACAACCACCACACCACCCTCATCCCCACCACAACCACCACAATCACCACCCTCATCCCCACCACAACCACCACAATCACCACCCTCATCCCCCACCACCACCACCACCACCACCACCCACCTCCATCATCAAGCGTCTCACCTGGGCAGATTAATGACCATCTAAGATTTACAGGTGACAAGTAAACATACATCACTTTACTGGGCATGTCCGGCCAGTCATTTGTTCCAACTTGGCGCAGCGCTGATGAGCTGTCAGGTGAGGGTGGGATGAGGGGGTGGGGTGGGTGGGGGAGAATGTCAGGAGAATGATGGGAAAGGCGGAAGGCAAGAGAGGAAAATGGTTTGTCTGGGTCCACTTGAACTGAACAGAACCCATTAAACACCCCAACAGAACCCATTAAACACCCCAAACAGAACCCATTAAACACCCCAAACAGAACCCATTAAACACCCAACAGAACCCATTACACACCCCCAACAGAACCCATTAAACACCCCAAACAGAACCCATTAAACACCCCAAACAAGACCCATTAAACACCCCAACAGAACCCATTAAACACCCCAACAGAACCCATTAAACACCCCAAACAGAACCCATTAAACACCCCAACAGGACCCATACACACTTAAACAGAACCCATTACACACCCCAACAGAACCCATTAAACACCCCAAACAGAACCCATTAATCACCCCAACAGAACCCATTAATCACCCCAACAGGACCCATTAGAACCCACCTGTGCATACACTAACAAGGTGTAGTTGGCCTGGTCACTCCTGAAGGCTCCGGAGCGACATCTGACGGTGAAGCCTGACGCGGTATGGTTGTCCACCTTACACCCAGCCACGGGACCTGGTCTACCTGAAGGAGGCAAAGTACAGTGCTCAGGGGGGTCTTAGAATACCCCGGGTGTAGACAATGGTTTAGACAGACAGACTTACGGGTGTAGACAATGGTTTAGACAGACTTACGGTGTAGACAATGGTTTGAACAGACTTCCGGGTGTAGACAATGGTTTGAATTGACTTACCCAGGTGTAGACAATGGTTTAGATTGACTTACTCCAGGTGTAGACAATGGTTTAGATTCACTTACCCGGTGTAAACTGGTTTGGACAGACTTATCCGGGTGTGAACAATGGTTTAGATGACTTACCCGGGTGAACAATGGTTTGAACAGACTTGCCCCGGTGTGGACAATGGTTTAGACACAGGTGTAGACAATGGTTTAGACAGACTTACCGGGTGTAGACAATGGTTTAGACAGACTTACCCCGGTGTAGACAATGGTTTGAACAGACTTACCTCGGGTGTAGACAATGGTTTAGACAGACTTACTCGGGTGTAGACAATGGTTTGGACAGACTTACGGGTGTAGACAATGGTTTGGACAGACTTACCCCGGGTGTAGACAATGGTTTAGACAGACTTACCTCGGGTGTAGACAATGGTTTAGACGACTTACGGGTGTAGACAATGGTTTGGACAGACTTACCGGGTGTAGACAATGGTTTGAACAGACTTACCCCGGGTGTAGACAATGGTTTAGACAGACTTACTCGGTGTGAACCAATGGTTTGAACAGACTTACCCCGGTGTGAACAATGGTTTGGACAGACTTACGGGTGTAGACAATGGTTTGAACTTAAGGTTGTAGACAATGGTTTAGATTGACTTACCCGGGTGTAGACAATGGTTTAGAACAGACTTTGGGTGTAGACAATGGTTTAGATTGACTTACCCCGGGTTTAGACAATGGTTTGGACAGACACGGTGTAGACAATGGTTTAGATTGACTTGCTGGTGTGAACAATGGTTTGAACAGACTTACTCGGGTGTAGACAATGGTTTGAACAGACTTACGGGTGTAGACAATGGTTTAGACAGACTTACCTCGGGTGTAGACAATGGTTTAGACTGACTTACCCCGGGTGTAGACAATGGTTTAGACAGACTTACCTCGGGTGTAGACAATGGTTTAGATTGACTTACCCCGGGTGTGAACAATGGTTTAGATTGACTTACCCCGGGTGTAGACAATGGTTTAGATTGACTTACCCCGGGTGTAGACAATGGTTTAGACAGACTTACCCCGGGTGTAGACGGTAAACTTGCAAGGCTCAATCTGTGTACCGATGGCGTTCTTGGCCCAACACAACACCTGTACACGTTCCTCTTGTAGGCGGGTCAAGGTGTATCTGCCCGTCAGCCCTTCTGTCCGCCCTACACTCTCCAGCCTCTCCCGGACGCCCTCTGGTGGGACGGATGGAAGGGATGAGGGACGGAAAATGTGGTGGAAAGGAAATATAGTGAGGGAGATTGTGAGAAATGGTGAGGGGAGATGAAGACAGGTGAGGGGAGGTGAAGACAGGTGAGGATAGGTGAGGGGAGGTGAGGACAGGTAAGGAGATGTGGGGACAGGTGAGGATGGGTGTGGGGGAGGTGAGGACATGGGGATGGGTGAGAACAGGTGGGGGGTGAGGACAGGTGAGAGGAGGTGAGGACAGGTAAGGGGGGCAGACACACTCACCTGGCGTCCTCCTCAGTGCCCAGGTGAAGGTGAGGGCAGGGGGGTAGGCACGGACTCTACACCTCACGGACACAGAGCCCCCACGGACGCCCACGTACTGCCTCCGTTGTTCCTCCTCACACACCGGGAGACTGTGGTGAGAGAGAGAGAGAGAGAGAGAGAGAGACATGGTTAAGAGACATGGTTAAAGAGAGACGGCAGAGAGAGAGCATGGTTAAAGAGAGAGAGACAGAGAGAGAGAGATGAGCAGCGTTGAAGAGAGAGAAAAATAAACGCCATTTTTGTCACCAGGTGGAGTAAATAATTAAAGGACAGGTAAGGCTGTGACCAACACTGACACAGGCATTGCCTTTCCCTTGTACAGGTGTGACACGTAAACAACTTGATTCTCTCTCACTTTCTCACGTTCTCTTTCTTTCTTTCTTTCGTTTTTGTCTTTTCTCTCTCTCTCTCTCTTTTTTTCTTCCTGTCTATCTCTCTGTCTCTCTTTAACCATGTCTCTCTCTCTTTTTTTTTTCAACCCCTAACAGTATACAGAAGAACTGTCCGTTATATGGAGGGTCCGTTAGATGTAAAACCTCCTCTTCCAACTAACGGATTATATGAAACAGAGTTCGTTATATCGAGGTATTACTGTAATTAAATCTTGCTGTTCCAAATAAGCGGGGTCCTGTCCACTGGGAGGGCAACAACGTGCTAACCAACACTGACGCACACACACACACACACACACACACACACACACACACACACTTCATTCATTGATTTCATTTCTATCAGTGACCAACTTTAATTCATATATTTTGTTTCATATAATTATTCTGGACAGCTGGTGATGACCAACATTATACGTACATACATACACTATATACACATACATACATACATACATACATACATACACTATCTATATATCTATCTATCCAGGAGGGAATATCGGAGAATTTGTTATCAGATCAATAAATATCGGAGAAGACAAAGAAGATTGGCCAAAATGGGCGGAAAATCGGTCTAAAAGGTGAAAATCGGGGGAGGAGAATGACCGACTTGGCAACACTGGCTGATTGAAATCAATCTCAGGTGAGTGACGAAAAATGAATACCTGTTCTTACCTCTTACTCATTCTTCTCTCACTCTTACTCATTCTTCTCTCGCTCTTACTCATTCTTCTCTCACTCTCACTCATTCTTCTCTCACTCTCCACTCATTCTTCTCTCACTCTTACTCATTCTTCTCTCACTCTTACTCATTCTTCTCTCACTCTTACTCATTCTTCTCTCACCTCTTACTCATTCTTCTCTCACTCTTACTCATTCTTCTCTCCTCTCACTCATTCTTCTCTCACTCTTACTCATTCTTCTCTCCTCTTACTCTTATTCTCTCCTCTTACTCATTCTTCTTTCGCTCTTACTCATTCTTCTCTCCACTCTCACTCATTCTTCTCTCACTCTTACTCATTCTTCTCCTCTTACTCATTCTTCTCTCGCTCTTACTCATTCTTCTTTCCTCTTACTCATTCTTCTCTCTCACTCTTACTCATTCTTCTCTCGCTCTTACTCATTCTTCTCTCCACTCTTATACATTCTTCTCTCACTCTTACTCATTCTTCTCTCCTCTTACTCATTCTTCTCTCACTCTTACTCATTCTTCTCTCTCATCTTACTCATCTTTCCTCTCGCTCCACTATTCTTCTCTCACTTACTCATTCTTTCTCTCACTCTCACTAATCCTTCTCTCACCCTTACTCATTCTTCTCTCGCTCTTACTCATTCTTCTCCACCTTACTCCATTCTTTTCTCACCCACTCATTCTTTCCTCTCAATTTCCACCTTCTCCTCACTCTACTCATTCTCTCGCTCACTCATCTCTTCCTCACTCTTACTCATTCTTCTCACTCTCACTAATTCTTCTCTCACTCTACTCACCTTTCTCACCTTACTCATTCTTCTCTCACCTTACTCATTCTTCTCTCTCACCTCACTCATTCTTCTCTCTCAATTTTACCATTCTTCTCTCACTCTTACTCATTCTTCTCACTCTTCACTATCTTTCTCTCACTCTTACTCATTCTTCTCTCACTCTTACTCATTCTTCTCTCTACTCCCCTTACTCATTCTTCTCTCACCTTACTCATCTCTTCTCTCTCATTTCCTCATCTTCTTCTCTTACTCCCCATTATCTCCTTCCACTCTTATCACCATTCTTCTCTCAATTTTACTCATCTCTTCTCTACCTACTCATTCTTTCCTCTCACCTACTCATTCTTCTCTCCACTCTTACTCATTCTTCTCTCAGTTTACTCATTCTTCTCTCTGCTCTTACCATTCTTCTCACTTACTCATTCTTCTCTCACTCTTACTCATTCTTTCTCTCTCTCTTACCATCTCTCACTCTTACTCATTTTCACTCTTACTCATTCTTTTCTCTCGCTCTACACATTCTTATTCATTCCTCAATGTATGTATGTATGTATGTATGTATGTATGTATGTATGTATGTATGTATGTATGTATGTATGTATTATGGGTACAGAACACACTCACAGTGTATGTATGTATGTATGTATGTATGTATGTATGTATGTATGTATGTATTGGTGGTACAGAACACACTCACACAGCACGTTGAGAGTGCTGTAACCATCACCCACACTGTTACTGGCCAGACAGGTAGAGTCCCGCAGGTCGGCTCACAGCACCCAGTCGCAGGGTCGTGTTCCGCACCCTTCATCTTCCCGCACCCTCAGCGCCCGACCCGTGGCAAATATCACACTACCATCATTATAAGTGCCTGTATTAGTTACTTATATTAATTAAGCATTACTTAGCACTTAAGAACTAATTATTTGATATTAAAATTATCTATAGATGTTGGTACAGTAAATTCTAGACACTAGGAGGCTTACTTTACAGTGAGAGGTGAGTAAATAGGTTCACTTAGACTCATAATACAGAATAGGTGACTAAATAGACTCACCTAGAGACTCATAAACATGAATCAGATGACTAGGTGACTTAGAGACACCCCTTGAAATTCACATTATAATACCAGGTGACGTTGTAGACTCGTGGATTTGCCTGAGGTGACAGGTGAAGGTGACAGATTCCCTCCTGCACCGTCACATTACCACCTTCCTGTTCGCTCATGTTCACGCGGGCCATTGGTACGACTACGGAACACAGAGACAGAATAACAGCGTAATAATGAAACTGGGGAAAAAATGACGATAGAGAGGAAATAATAGGGAAATTATATGTGAATAGTGGAAATATTACCACAGGATTCAGATTAAGGTGTGAAGCTTGTCTGAGGAGAGAGAGAGAGAGAGAGAGAGAGAGAGAGAGAGAGAGAGAGATAACATGTAGAATTAATTGAGACACACACATACACACACACACACACACAGACACACACACAGACAGACACACACACAGACACAGACACACACAAAGACACAACTCACAGTAAACATCAAGAGCCAGTTGGTCTTGCAGGGCCAACTTGGGGCAGGTTGGGACTGACGGCTTTACAAAGGAGAACATGACTGTGGTTGTCAGCTGGGGTCACTCTAGCCTGCTGACAAACACATCCACCCCTTGCCTCCTGACACAAAGAGATGAAAAAGTGAGATTAGTGTCAGGTCAACCCCAAAGACAGTGAGATTAGTGTCAGGTAAACCCAAAACAGTGAGATTAGCGTCAGGTAAATCCCAAACAGTGAGATTAGTGTCAGGTAAATCCCAAAACAGTGAGATTAGTGTCAGGTCAACCCCCAAAAACAGTGAGATTAGTGTCAGGTAAATCCCAAAACAGTGAGATTAGTGTCAGGTAATTTCAAAACAGTGAGATTAGTGTCAGGTCAACCTCAAAAACAGTGAGATTAGTGTCAGGTCAACCCCAAAGACAGTGAGATTAGTGTCAGGTAAATCCCAAAAACAGTGAGATTAGCGTCAGATCAGCCCCCAAAACTAAGATTAGTGTCAGGTAAATCCCAAAACAGTGAGATTAGTGTCAGGTCAACCCCAAAAACAGTGAGAGTTAGTGTCAGGTAAACCCCAAAAACAGTGAGATTAGTGTCAGGTAAATCCAAACAGTGAGATTAGTGTCAGATCAAACCCCCAAAAATATTAATCTCTTGTTGATTCAAGTAGAGAGATAGGGTTGTAGAGGTCACAGGAGGAGGAGGAGGGAGGAAGAGGTAGAGGAGGAGGAGGAGGTAAGAATTAACACAATATTTCATCCGAGCAAAATAAAATTCCTTTAATATCCATCGTCTGCAACACAACAAAGCCGCAACTTGCAATAAAAATCACTCAATGGAGCTCTGCAACACAACACAACACGATATAAAGTTGCAATAAGTATTACAGGTGATAATGCAACACACAAAACACAGGTAAAGAACGTAACAACCTTTAAGAATTCTCCTTGTATCGTAGGTAAAGGAACGAGTAACATTGTTCTTTTATCCCAGGTTACAATATTCACCTGGGTATGTGGTTTTAATTAGTCACTTGGATTACCTGTACGTTCTCACCTGTCCCAAACTTAATTTAGAGATCGTGAGGGAATCAGCGGAGGGACTGGGTGTGACTGCTTGAGACCTGGAGTAATTATTTTGTGTTTCTAACCTCTCTTCTCCCTCTCCTCTCTCTCTCTCCCTTTCTCTCCCTCCTCTCCTTCTTCTTTCTTCTCCTCCTCTCCTTCTTTCTCCTCCTCTCCTTCTTCTTTCCTCCTCCTTTCTTTCTTTCCTCCTTTTTCTTTCTTTCCTCTTTCTTTTCTCTCTTTTCTTTCTCCTCTCTCTTTTCTTTCTTTCTTTCTTCTCTCGCCCTCCTTCTTCTTCTTCTCCTCTCCTTTCTCTTTCTCTCTCTCCTTTCTCTTTCTTCTCCTCTCTCTTGTCTGTCTGTATCTGCCTGTCTGTTTGCCTCCTCTCTCTTCCTTTCTTTCTCCTCCCATCCTTCTCCCACAAACCTTCCTACCCTACTGTCCTTCCAACCTCCTCTCACCCTCCTCCCTCACCTCCCTCACTAATTCTTCTCACCTACTCCAACACTGTCATCAACATGTCCCTCACACGTTCTTTATCACATATTTTAACGTGTTCTGTCCTGTCTTATTTATCACAGTTGACGGAGACGGAAGGACAGGGACGGTGAATATTGAAGACAGG